CTCTAAGTTCATTTGTTCTGATTCTGTAAATTATAACATTGTTTTAAAAAATTGTATTTCATGCGAAGTCCTTGCTGTTGCTCATAATTTCATCTGTCGTATTTAAGGCTTCACCAAAAAAGGGTTTTTCAGCAGTTTCTGGTTAGTTCTCAAGCCAGTATAATTTATTTTATATACAGTTTAGCTTAACTAAATGAAACAGATAATAAAAAGAATATTTGATACTCAGTTCGACAACATTTCTAACACTTGGAACAACATTTTTGTTGCCCCACAGCGAACTCGGCTGATAGCCTGGCTCGCACTGGCTTATGACTGATGATCATTTGGCTGCATTTTGACAGTGATAATGGTTTTTGGTAAACGACTCATTAGCTCGTTGCTAAGTAGCTGCTGCAGCAAGTCGCAACAAGTTGCAGCACGCTGTGGCATCAACCGCTTGCGTAATCGGAAGTGCGTTGATTTATGAAGTTTTAGCCGCGATCTCGAGCGCAAAATTCTGATGCCTTGATGTTACCGTTGTTGTTGTTGTTGTTGCAACAAACACACGTTGTTGTTGCTGCAGTTGCTGTTCTGCGATAAGATCGCAGCCAGATGCAAGCTGCAAGACGGTGACTGGACTCTGGCCGGCAGAGCTACGTGCCGCACACGTTGCGCGGCTGATTACGCTGACGATGTTTGCCTGTTTTTCTCGCAACTTCAACTACCTTTGGAGCGGGACTGACGCCGGCCGTTGACAAATGAGCATTACAAGTGTTTGTGACAAGCCGCAAGCGTTGTATTTATTGCTACGAGTCAGAGGCAGCAGCCGACGAGGCGAAAGAAAAAAAGACGATTAAACTTTGAACTGTTGGCTCGACTACAGCCTCCACTGGCAATTCGCCTGCTATTTGCTGACCTAGGCCAAGGGTTTTGAGCTTAACTTTGAACCTGCATGCGTATGCTAATTCTGCGTCAATCACAACATGATCAGCTCTGTCCCCTTCGGCACTCGCTCCCAGGTATGCAAAACGTGCCACAGACAATGGCAATTTGAATTGCAGAGTTGCCGTCTGCATCCGTCTGCTGCTTCATCTGCTGCGCTGCTTCTTCTCTCGCCGTGGCACTTAATAAATTCTGTTGCACATTTTTGCATGCACCAAATTTCAAAAAATTTCAACTGATATGTTAAGCGGCTGTCAGCGTTTGACTTTGACGTCATCTTACATGAAAATTAAATGCATAAGATCAAAACAAAAGACCAAACAAACAAAAAGCCAAATATAAATATAAATGTATATATGTATGTATGTGCATGTGTGTGTGTGTGTATGCAAAATCCAATATATCTATATAGTATTTCACGATCCGCCTAGACGGCCAGCGAAATGGGCACAAAGTTGTAAAACGCTTCGAATGTTCGCTCATTGGCGCTGTCAAGAGTCGACATGCCCATGCCCATGCCCATGCACAGGCCCTGTCCCCTGCTCCGACGATAAGTGATATGACATGCCAGGTGCCACAGATGCCGCCAGTGGAAGTGACTAGCGACTGTGGCAGTGCCGCAGCCAAACTGCTGTCAACTGTTGGGGCTTTGCGCCTGGCCATGACGACAAGCGACAACGATGCGCTACTTATGTAGCCATGTAGTTAGTCAGTCCCAGAAACGCACCCGTTCCCATTCCCACTCTCATTCCCATTTCCAATCCCTGCCGAGTCTTGTTGACATTTAGTGGTTCGCTAAACGGGCTGCCAAGAATTTCAATCAGTTCGGTTTCAATTGGCTTAGCTGCGCGCTGATCTTTCGCTGGAAATAAGAGACTTCTTCAATGAAACAAGCTGTCATTAGCTAAAAAATCTGAAAATATCCAACATTCACTTCGATATCATCGCTAATCTCTAAATGGAATCTTACTTGAGATAAGTAAAGTAAATAAATATATATTCCAATGTCTATATTATCATTAGATCTCAGAGTAAAATTTAGTAAAAATAAATCTTAATCTTAAAACTTAGATCTTAATTATTTCCAGTGTGAAATATCTGCTCAAAGTCCCTCAAGCAATGGTGAAATGCTGCTCGATGCTGCATTCTGCAATCCCCTCGATACTTTGCCACGCACTCTCGCAGAGACTTTCATGATTTTAATACGCTGCGGCTGCAGCTGTGAGTGTTTGTTGCATGTGTAAACAAATTGCAACATCATAAGACAGCAGCATTTGACAATTGTAAATGGCCCTGCCTCTGGCAGACTCTATAGAAACACAGCGAAATGTCCGCCAAGTGTGCTCGGCCACAATTCATATTGATTTTCCACATACAATGCTCTACTCCGTTCCGTTCCGGAGCGCTGGGCAAGGTCAGTAGTATGTGAGAGATAAGTGCAGTCTGAAGCTGCGTCTGCACTTCATGCATCAAATGCCACTGAATGTTGAATGCTGCATGTTGTATGAAGCCGTCTGCAAAGTTGAAACCGACAGCTCGGACCTGGGTCTAATGGCTTGCGAGAGATATTACATTGTGAATCAAATTTGATAGTTGATAATCTGACTGACAGCACTGCTAACGGAAGCAAACTGGGTCAGGACTTGCACTAAAAGTTTCTGCAATTCCATTTGCCACCAAAGTGTCGCACTCTTCCTCTCTCCCTCTCTCTTCCTCCAACTTTCGCTCTCGCTCTGTCTCTCTTTGTTGTTGATCCGAATGACTGATGAAGCTGATGTCGTTGTCTGGTTACTGTCTGCTCAGCTGTTTACGTGGTCATTAGTTTTAACCCGTTACGGCATGGCCAAAAGGCTGAAGGGACGAAGACCTAAAAGTGCTCTTCAGGTCTGCCATAAGTGTGGGTGTCTCTGCGTGTGTGTGCTTTTTTTGGCAACCGCCGTTACGGCATTTGCCACACTCAAATTCACTTTAATTAAATGAGCGGTAATTAATTTCAACTTTAATCAGAAATTCCATTTAGATTTCCTACTGATTGATGTGCACCGACATCTTACGACAACGTCACGTCGAGCGCTAAACCAACAGAAACTAAAAAAAAAACTTTTGTTTCGCGCATCCTCAATAGAGAGAGACAGCAATATAAGAAGTGTGTAAGAGAGAGAGTGGGATATATTCAGTGAAAATGCGAGCAAAACTTTTTGTTTATTTAAAATTTAAATTGAATCGCACCACGAGCAAAATTCTTGTTGAGCAAAGCAACTTTAATATTTTGGAAAAATAAACTAAATATAAAACAAGGAGATATTACTTTTTTAAATAAATAAATAATAAATTACAATTCAGTTTCATTTACTTTTATTACTATTTTATCCAATCTTCTTCAATATTCAACAAGTCATTAATATATTCAATATTGAAGGAAATTCTTACCAAAACTTTTTGCAATTGAGTTAGGCATAGGCCTTGAGCCGTGTTGCTCAACTAATTAAAAAGCCTTGCATCTCGCCAGGCAATGCGTCATCTTATCAACGGCATCTGCAGTCGAGCAGTGCAAATGAAAGAAATGCGACAGCAACTTTGTAGATCCAATTGCCGTTTAGCAATGGGCCATGACCCATATAGGTTCATTGGGGCGTACGCGGGGTCCAAAAGCGAACATTTGTCGGCGTTCCCAAAGTGCTGCTGACAGAAACGCTCCTCACTTGGCCTGTCTATCACATTGACTGACTGCCACACATTTCTCTGAGTGTGTTGGTGTGGTTGTGTGTGTGTGTGTGTCTCATTCTCTATTTTTTTTTCGTTTCTTGTTTATTGTTGAATGCCGGGCGGGCCAATTGAGTTGGCCATAATAACACGCCACGGTAAATGGCTTTTAAAAGTCTACTTTGCCACAATCCGCCCCCTCATTATGAACGACGCGTTACGAACGCCCCCTCGGGCAGGCCCAAAAGATGACAATAGCTGCTGGCGAGGTAGGAGGATCGGAATGAAACTCGGAAATTGTCATTATCTATGGCCATCAGCAGTGGGTGGAAGACAGTGAAATCGAGCAGCGTCCCCAACCACAGCGACAGCTGTCTAAGGTCTACCATCTATAGTCGATAGTCTATATAGTCTCTACAGTCTAGAGTGATACTTCATGGGTACGCTCCCCGCAACTGCCGCTTTGTCATTGTTGATTTTTCGACTAACAATAATAAAATGAAAAATCCTTTTGGCAGTGAAACCCAAATTGCAGCTTGACACGTCATATTTATGAAATGCGCAACGTTGCAGAAAATCACAAAACAAAGCCAGAAAATTAACTGCCTCAACGGTGCCTTGTCCACTTCAACGTTCTTCGACTCACCAGAAACACCCCGCAGGAAAAAGTATAAAGCTGTGAAATAAGAAAACGAACTGCAAATGATAGCGACTTGCCTTAATTTGTATTTATATCTACAAATTCATTCGAAATTTTGCATTAATATGAACTCTTCTTTACACAAATAACTTTTGCTTAACGAAAAGAATCTTCTTTATGCTTTATAATATCTTAAGCCAGAGATTTAATAAGGACTTAATAATAATGCAAATTATAATGGTAATGATGATGCTAAGAAAATAGATATAGATAATATCAATGATATAGATAATATCATAATGCCTATGATAACAATGGGAGATCGTCTCTAAATCTGAATGGTCTGTCGGACAGCATTTGCTGCTTACCGACCTAAAACCCTGCTCTTTCTTGGGCTGCCTCCCACCACGGAACCAGACTTTATTAACCATTAAGGTGAAGCCTTTCTATGTGCTCTGAGCACGGCCACCTGTGTTCCTGCTTCCAGGTCCGACTTTTTTTTTACTACAATGCATGTCTCTACCATGAGCATTGCTGCCAAGCCTTTTCTTCTGTCTACCTTTATATGTAGCCACTACCCTAGAGCCATCTCGCATACCGCCTGCTTGACAACGTTGACTATAGTCTGCTGTGGCAGGTCCTTTGCTTAGCTGATACTAAAGACTATATCAAGTAGTTTATTCTCCTCATTTTCCACTTTACTAAAGCACCATTGGTCTTTTCGAACTTGCAGGTACTGTGAATGCCAATGGCGAGACGAAACGACAACGGACCTCATACACCCGCTATCAGACACTGGAACTTGAGAAGGAATTCCACTTCAATCGCTACCTGACACGCAGGCGACGCATCGAGATCGCGCACGCGCTCTGCTTGACGGAGCGACAGATCAAGATCTGGTTCCAGAATCGGCGCATGAAGTGGAAGAAGGAGCACAAAATGGCATCGATGAACATTGTGCCATATCACATGGGCCCCTACGGCCATCCCTATCACCAGTTCGATATCCATCCGTCACAGTTTGCGCATCTGAGCGCATAGGACGCGTGGCACTTTTCGGGTACTGGTTAGAGACTCAATCAGTTGTATCAGGAACCATATCAGGCGGCGGCAGCGGCCAGCGTGGCCGGCGGCTATCAGTCACAGGGCACTCAGGATCCGACCGCATCGGCATCGGTGCTGGGCAGCGTCAGCGTCGGCGCCAACGCCAACGGCGGATCTGGCAGCAACATTGGCACCGGCAACGGCTCCAATTCGCTGTTCAGCTCCGCCGCGGCGGTGGCCAATGCCAGCAATACCAATGCCGACTGCATTAAATATCCTCAAGAGTTCTGATCTCAGGTTATCATCAGGCAGCAGCAGCAGCAGCAGCAGCAGTCACAGCAGCCACAGCAGCAGTCGCTCGATCCGCTGCTGGACTCGGACTGTGAGCCCGATTCAGATTTGGGGCTGGAGCTGGAGTACAAAGCGGACATTGTTGGCTGTAATTTGTTCTGCTGCTGAGCCGGTGCCTGCGCCATTTGCCATTTGCCACTGCCTCGCATTCGCATTCGCATCCGCATCCGCAATCCGCAATTCGCAATCCGCCGCCGCTGTCGATCAACCAACATCAAAGACGATGCTTCTTGTTTGCAACTGATTCGTGTTAAGCTGAGAAATGAGCCGTGGCTGGAGCGCGGCTCATTTGGGTTTATGATACTGGAGGTGGAACTGTGCGCACTCGTCTAGTTCTCCCTAGACCTGCCTGCACACACACACACACACGCACTCACACACAGTCGCAAATACACACAAACACACACTCACACACACAGCTTGAGCCTTGGGTTGGAGCTGGGGCAAGGATCTGGAGCTAACTTTCGATAGCTGCTGCCATTGGACGTCCAGTATGATAAACCTCTTTCTCTAAGCAGTATTCGAAAAGCAATTAGTCTTAAGTCTAGCATAAATTTTAGCCCTAAGTCAGCACAGAAGAACAAAACAAAAACAAAAACAAAAACAAAAACGAAAATAAGTTAAACAAAAACCAATTTAAAACAAACGTAAAATTTGCAATAATTTCAAAGTGATTTCTATTAAAATTAGTTTTCGTTTAACCCCTAATTCTAACTCTAATTCAAGTACTTAAAAGCTACCAACACTCGGCATGTATGTGTACGTGTATGTATCCTTTTTAAGGCTTCGTTCAGTTTGTATATAGCAGAGCGTCCCACTCTCAAACGGCGCCTTATTATGTTTGTGTTTCCTTTTTAAATATATAAATTGTTTGGCTCGAGAGCGACTTGGCAACGATACAGCTTTGATTTGCTCGTTTCTTTTATCTTAATTCAAAATCATTGCACAATTTGGAGAACAAATTCGGAGATGAAACAGGGAATTTGGCTAGCGGTCAAAATGTGGCTCGATTTCAAATACTTAGCACAATTTCTATAGCAAAGCCTCAACCAGACGCTCTCTCAATGTTATCTTTTATTCGATTCGTATCACTTTTATGTCTGTAAATCAAAAGAACTATAACAAGTCTTTCACATATTGTCTCTTAGCTTAAGTGTGCATTACAACTTAAAACCTACATTAAGCAATGCGCAGATTGTTAAAACCTAAAAATAAAAATGAGAACTAAATTTAAAAATGGACGAGAAAGTAGGGAAAGAAGCAAACCTATACGTAAATGTAATGTAATTATTTATGCTGTACTTTTTGCTAAGCTAAGGTTAGTGCATTCTAGAACCTATCGGTAGTCTATGTGAACCTAGCCCATAAGCCTAAATTATATTGAATTAGCAAGACAAATTTTAGTAAAAGTAAAACTATAACAAAAAAACCCGCGCATTAAAAAAACAAAAGCAAACAAAAGTAAGAAAGAAAAAACATAACTACTTAGCACAAATTAAATAATTGTTTTGTTTTCTATTTTGTTTAAACTATATATATATATGTAAAAACAAAAAAAAATATATATATGTATTTATATATATATATATATATTTGTCCAAACGATATGATTTTCCAATCAAAATGCAATACAAAGTTTGTAGTACGGGAGTAGGGGGGCGCAAAGAGTTTAACTGCATTCCATGTAAAAATAAATAATATAAATAATTTTTAATAAGATCCGTACTTATATAATGATATGGGTTCTATTGCGAATGCAATGTTTATAAGCTGTAAAACCACAAAACCATACAAATATAAATAAATCAAAACAAGCGACAACATATGTAAGCATGTACGAATATGACATAAAAATAAAACTATTTTAAAATGTACAACACTTGTGTTTTTACTTAAATAATTTTAAATACTCTCTACACACGTAAGCCTCTTTTGGCTTTACGAAGGCGGTTCCTTGGCCGGATAGCTCAGTCGGTAAAATGTTCGGCGTTTACCGAGACATTATTCGACTCCTTGCTTGATTTTATTAAATAATTTTTGCTTTTTTTTAAATATTTACTTAATTTTTGTTTTGTGCATGTGCAGATATATTGTATATATCATTAATATTATATATTACTTAATAAAGCTTTCCATATTAGTATAGAAAGCAGATTTTAAGCAAGCAGTGAGTCGATGTGGAGCAATTTGGATTCAAAGCAGGGCAACACAATTATTAAACCATAAAATTGATTCACAATATGCGAAGCAGTATTTATTCCATTAGTATGTAAAGCAGTTTTAAAAAGCAGTGCATAAATGTGGAGCACTATATAAACAAAGCCGTGCAATATTATTTTACTGTTGTTGGCTTGGCGGAATACTTAAAAAAGCAATGAGATTTGTTCAACTAAGTTTGTTTCACCTCTAGTATTTATTATGCCGCAATTTCACATTCATTACAATAACTGCAGCGTATTAAACAGGTGTAAGGTTGTGCAATTTCAGATGCACATTTCAAATGTACTAACGCCTTTGGTACACTTCGAACGACCGCAGATAGTGCTGGCCAATTCCATATTAGCCTCAAACAAAGCATAGAAACAGTAACGTATTCTTGGGCTATTAAAATATATCTACTATATTTTTTTTAACTTAATTGGTGTACATAAGAATACGTTCACTATTTCATGTCCTTGGGACCTCTGTTACGGGAAAATCTTATTACTTTATAAGTGCACAAAAACTTTTCATAAACAAGGATAAGAAAGTATTTTTAATTTTGGACAATTGAAATTTGTACTAAAGTGATTCAATAGATAAATTTCTTATGACAAATTGCTTGCCAGATGTCTGGAATATTTGTGGCTGCAGATACTGTATTTATTATTCAGAATGAACGAGCCTGAACTTTAATATAATATTGTAATTGCTCTAATCATGCTGGCGTACTTCATCAGTTGGGTACACTTACGTGCCCATATATTGTTATTGTTTGCATAATCGTTCTCTCAGTGAGCGATACTATCAGTTATTATTATATTATATTTCATGTTATCTTTTAAATATTCTTAGCCCGTAACCGAGTATTACTCAGAACCTTAGTGGTTTTCTCTTAATATAAATTCTTATTTCTATTTAATATAATTCATACAATTAGAGGCTCAGTTTCTATTCAGTACTTGCAGCAACCAGTTCTTGAATCTTGAATCTTGAATCTGAATTTATTTTATTATTAAAAAAGGACGCAATGAAGACTTTCTTTAGTGCCACCTTTACACTCAGCCTTATTATAGCTGAAATCGCGGGTGATATTCCGGGCTGTGATTACTTTGATACCGTCGATCTAAAGAACAGCATACAACTCACGAATGGTTCCTTTCTGTATAGAGACATTCTAATTCCAAAAGAAAAGACTGGAATATTCAACTATAAAATTTACTTCGATGGAAGACTCGATGTCGACGACTATATCCGTGGCTGTGTGTGCCATATAAAACCCTGCGTAATATTTTGTTGTGATTCCCAAAAGTCCCATGTGTATCGGCCTTTGAATATAACCCTACTCAACGGTCAACAGGTGCAGAAGGATCTGCTCAAGGACTATATTGTGCAAGTAGCTTATGACTTCCCATGTACAGCATTCAGCAAGAGTGATACGCAGACCCAGTGGACTCTATTTGAGGTTTGCTAACGCCTGACTCCCATTTCATTGGCAGCTTTTGTGTTATGTCCGCCTTGTTGTCCGTCCGTCCGTCTGTCCGTATGTAAGCACGCCATTTCGCCGCTATTGAACGATTTGGATTTGGGTATCTATGTCTTATGAAATTTGGCATTAATTTTTATATGCCCGGGTAGCTCAGTCGGTAGAGCATTGGACTTTTAATCCAAGGGTCCAGGGTTCAAGTCCCTGCTCGGGCGATCATGATTTTTTGCTGAAGATCGCAAGAGATATATCGGACTGTAATTACTTTGGGTCATAGAGTCATATAGAGGCGTTATTATCCAAAAAGAAACACGTCAAATTAATTGCTCTAGTCGATACGGCTCGACCCTGAGCCCTGTGAAGCCGTGATATTCCAATTATTATACTATTCTTTTATACACATGCATAAGCTCTCGGACTTCTAAATACATTTTCCTAATAAAATTTTCATTGTATAAGTGTAGCATTGCATTTGCCAAGCCACAAGTCTGGTATTTCAAATAAATATTTGTTAATTTTGAAGATGGAGGAGGTATCCAAAATCCAAAATATTCTAAATTAATAAACTCACAATAAATATGAAGTCTACAACTTTTACGATATTGAAATTAACTTAAAAACTAAACTAAATAAAGCAATTTTTATCTGTAATACGCAAATGGTACGAGTCATCGATCAATTTGGATTTTCAAGTCTCTGGCTTTGTAGTTTACGAGATCGCTGCGTTCATAAGGACAGACAGTCAGGCGACCAGAGGGACATGACTATATCGACTCTGCGTATCGCAACGCCGCCTTCTGCATTTTACATGCATTTTCACAAATCCTTATAAATGCACGTTCCTATATATTTTATGGTTTCTAAGAAGTTTTTAGCTATAGTAGCTAGATTCTTTACATTATGTCAAAGTATTAAGAGAAATCTTTATTTTTTACTTTACTTTCCATTCCTTGATTTTTGGTTTAAAATTTTTTACTATTTGTGAATATTCCGGCAATCACTCCAAGGAGTAAAAACGGATCATTGAATCTATTCCGGGCACAATATATGCCCGGGTAGCTCAGTCGGTAGAGCATTGGACTTTTAATCCAAGGGTCGAGGGTTCAAGTCCCTTCTCGGGCGATCTTCATTTTTTTTACCGAATATCGCTGGAGATATTTCGCGCTATGATCACTGCTATACACTCGGTCTAACGAACAGCATACAACTCACGAATGGACCCTTTATGTTTAGAGTATAAAGAGAATACTAGAATACTCAACTATCAAATGTCCTACGATGGAAGACTAAAAGGCCATACCTAATATAAATGTACAGCCAAAACTCTTTTGAGTATAACTCTACGGTTAAATGAATATTTACCTCAGCTTTACAGATTACATTCATGAACTATAAAGGAGATTAGTAATTTTGAGATAGTAAACAGGTATTACGGAGGCCGTCGCGTACGACTAATACTTTCCTAGTGGCTGATTGGGGAGCTTGCAAGCTCGAATCTTGCAGGGAATATGTTTTTATTATTGGATAAATATGTTAACACTTGACAGTATATATGTATGGAAAAGAAGATTCGCATTCAGAGTTGTCTTATTTACAGAATGAAGCGCTATACGTTCATGGAGATAACAAGAGCTTCACTAAGCAGCAATATTGCATGTTCCCGTTTAAGGATGGCAATAATAACAACGATGACCAACTCGAGGTCGTGCTTATTCCCGAGCCCCAGCCTATAAATATAACGAAGCGTAAGACATAGAGTTGAACTGAAAGTAGATTTCATATACATCATGTGTTATTGGATTACAGTTTCGGCACCCCACGCACTTAGAGTCCTTTCTGTGTTCTGCATGGTCCTGACTATTGCGATCTTTCTATATGTAAAAATGTATCGGACGTTATACAATCAATGCTGCGTGTGTTACTTCACTTGCCTTACCATAAGCTTCCTCATGGCTTTCGTGGAATCGATTCTGAACGCCCCCGCCGACTTTACTTATAAATCTTGCCTTGGATTTGGTAATGTCACATATTTCCTTAGCTTTGCATTGGTTTACCTTAAATATTAGCCTACGTGCACTATTTTTTCGTTATGGCCACCTTCCTCTGGCTCGTAATGATCAACATTACATTATGGAAGAGCTTTAAAAATCTTGGGATTCGGGAGAAGCCCAGCTTCAAGAAATATAGTATCATCGTGTGGAGTATAGCAGCTGTATTACTGACGCTCTTCGTGGTGGCTGATCGATGCATACCAGACGATGTGCCTAGCTATTTGAAGCCCGAAGTTGCGAAATACACATGTTTGGTCAAAAGTAAGAACAATTCTTCATATAATATATTTGATGCGCTGACTGCAGCTTCTTTTAGCGACTGATGCGGCAAGAATGATCTACTTTGATTCCTTCATATTGCTAGCAATATTAATTAACATCGTGCTCTTCGTGGCAACAGCTCGCATAATATATGTGGAAAACAAGTATAATCAACGCAATTGGACCACTTCCGAGAGTAAGAAAAACGTGAAAAATCAAGCTAAGTAAGTCGAGATAATAATATAGGATAATAATATAGGAATATTTGGTATTAATATAATCATTCGTTATTCACACATTAATTCTTATTTCCATTGCAGGTTAGTCATGTTCATCCGATTATTCGCAATAGCAGGCTGTTTGTGGCTCATGGAAATAATTTCTTCTTTATTTATAACTAATGTTGAAAATATATCAATGTATTTAGATCTAGTGCCGAGTTCCCAAGGCGTGCTTTTATTTTTTATAACAGTCGCCAGGAAGGACATGATTAAATCCATATATGACCGGTATAAAAGCTCAAATAATTTTAAATGTATTCTTTATACTAATGTATGCATTTCATTGGATATATTTTATATAGAATGGAATTCGGAAGAAACAAACCTAATCCAGTTTCCCAAGTATCTACATCAGACGCAGTATCCTAAAATAATTTTTTAAACGTTAAATTTTTTACAAATAACGAAAGGTAATTATTCTACCGACTATTGAAGTTAATCTAATAATATCTGTATTAATATATCTACCACATAGAGTTTGTAAATAAATAAATAGATACTTTAACGAAAAAAGTAGTAAAAGCAATAAGTTTTTTGTACTTTCTCTCTGTTTTTGGATTATTTTCTTTCATTATTTGTTAATTATTTATATATTTATTAATTTTTTTTTTTTGAAAATAAATGTATTTATTTTTAATTATTCCTGCAATCACTCCAAGGAGTAAAACTTATGATTGGATCTTGGCAAGGGTATTTTATATGCCCGGGTAGCTCAGTCGGTAGAGCATTGGACTTTTAATCCAAGGGTCCAGGGTTCAAGTCCCTGCTCGGGCGATCTACTTTTTTTTGTCTGGAGTAGAAATATATTATATTATAAATAAAATAAAAAAATATAACGAAATTATTTATTACTATTTCTATAAGCAAAGCTAATTTTCGTAAATTACACGTTCAGTGTTGGGAGAGCAGATATTAATATTAATTTTATTTAAAGCAGTTAAACAATTAATGTACGCCTTTTGATAAGAAAGCAGTGTACACACAAGCAGTATTTACGACACTACATGAAACACAAATTACGTAAGCTTAAAGTAGTTTTATATGAAAGCAGTTCATTATAAAGCAGTGCAGTGATTCATCTTTTTAACAATTCGGTTGAACTACGTGACGTAAAACACACTTATAGAAACGAAAATTTCGACTGGAAGGTTGGCAGCTTCTGTAATCACGCTTCTGTGAGGTCTGATTGTGGGATGGCCTGAGGCTGGGGATCACTGTGTAGTGGACCAGCCATGTTGACGGAACGTCCGCACTAAGCTTGCCATCAATATGGGTGCCGAGGAGGAGTCCACGGCATTCAGGTTGGCTAAGGAGGGATGAACCGGGCCAGGGGTGAAAACCAGCAGCCAAGAGTTCCCGTGGTAGGCAGTAGTGGGATAGCGTACCGGAGTGGACTGCCATTACCAGCCTTGCCAATTGTTGGACCACAGTCTTTTTGCTACTAAAAATAATATTTAAGAAAATCTATTTTGTTTCACTTAGTTTGTGACACATTAAATTATTATTTATTTATTATTACACAATTTCATTTCCATAACAACGACTGATTGGAGCGTAATAAACAGGTCAACGGTTGTGCGAGAGCCCACTTCATTTGTACACATTCACTAACACTTTTGGCCCATTTCGAACGCCCGCAGATAATGCTGGCCAATTCCATGGGCATCGAATAGATGAAACACTTCTCCATTACGGGTATTGTAAAAGTCCAGAGAAAGATTATGAGAAGTCCAACAGCTATGGGTCCAATCATCTTGAGACGTAATTTTGAGCGAGTTTCAACTTAACACATGGATTGAGCGTGGGCAACTGAAATCTCCTGTTCAGCTCTGCTTGACATTAACTATTGACATTAACGTATAGATGAGTTGATAATCCTACAGATAAGGCATCTCTCTTTCTCTCTCTCTCTCTCTCTCTCTCTCTCTCTCTCTCTCTCTCTCTCTCTCTCTCTCTCTCTCTCTGCTTAATCTAAATGCCGCATTCAAAATAATATATAATTACAGCACAATTTCTAGAAATATTTCGGAATATGTGACAGACTATCAATAGCTATTATTGAATGTATTATATTAAGTGAATATAGAGTATCTTTGGGGCCATGCATCCACAGAGATGAATATATAGTTGATGTGCAAATATATCTTTATACTTTATAAAGGAAATTTAATCTAGACGACAAGCTGTGCCTATATAGCTATATCTCTCTTAAATTTTGAGTTTTAAGGTGTAAATCTAAAAAGATTTAGCGTGTTTCAAATTGTTACGAAGGTTTAAAAGGTCAATCTTTAGGAGGGCTCTGCAGTACGCTGGAAGGAATCTACAACTTATCTGGACTTGTCTGGACTTGGCTATACGAGTCTATATTCCAAGTTTCAAGAGAATGAAATAAACTGGAATACATTCTTATCAAGATAACTCTTTAAGGCTATGCTTTTTCAGTGCATTTATGTTCCCCATCGTAACTCCCATAGTAAAACGATACAGCGGAATAAGGCTTTATGTAACGCCTTATCAAATAAATACCGATTTCCAATGTCACCTTAAATCGGAGAATACTGATCTACATTTAGATCAGCTGGCTGCATATATTTTTTCATTCTATCTATTCGGGTAATATGAAGCCTCGCTGACTGGTTAAGAGTTAAACCCCCACGTTGCATAGAGTATACTAAATTAGAGTTGAAAAACTCTGCAAAGAAATCGGCTAATTCCAGATCTCCATTTGCTGAGAGCGACACAAAAGACTTTGTTAGTTCTCTTTTTGAATTGACGAATTTTTAGCATTTTTAAGAGCTGATTGCGGCTGAATTGATATTAGTTTGGTTACTTATTTATACATTTATTTTAAGTACTGATTACACCTTCATTTATTTAGAAGTCGACTTACCTTTGTAAAGTTTGAAAATTTTCCAACTGAAACTTCTTTTATACCTGCAGAATTTTGCTTTGAAAGGTTCTAATTGCTGTTAAAACCTCTTTTATATCAAAGTAATCTATGTATGTGAAACATTATTAATGAGGAGCTCGGCAATAGTTGATCAAATTTCGTTATAGTTATCCCAATGTAATTTTGCGATAAGATTTTGTGCCAATTTATATAAGATAACCAATTATTGATTAAGTTAAAGCTGCACTTTTTGTAATTGAAGTTGCACATAGAACTGCCACTGTTCGAAATTGAACTTTAGCATGCTTTTTTAAATTTAAATTTAATAATTATGCGAGGAAACCCGAATTATAACTTTCTATTTAATCAATTGAATATAGTATTTAACTGAGCTAAGTTCAACCTAAACAAGTTATCCTGCTACAAGTCCTTAACTACAATGCGTGCAACCATGCCAGTATATCCAGGAAAAAAATATCCCATCCCTCATGGACATCGATTAATAAGCAATCAGGTCGAATATATGAGACTTAAACTTATGAAATCGTTGGAGAAATGCTTGTCTGTATAATAGCACCGCATCTTCTCGAACATTGGCTTTAATATTAATATTTAATATTATATATATGTATATGTATATATACTTGATATCCAATTTATGTCATTAATAAAAAGAAATTAAAATGAATAATTAAAACTTTACGTTGATTTCTTTTTAATTAATTAGTAATTTAATTAATATAGTAATAATAAAAAATTATTTTAATTTTTTTATTTTGTTTTCCAATTTTGATTTTTATTTCTTGTAAAATATTCGTGCAACTATTCCAACGACCATAAGCCTATGATTGAAACTTGGCAAGCTAATAGCGTGTGCCCGGGTAGCTCAGTCGGTAGAGCATTGGACTTTTAATCCAAGGGTCCAGGGTTCAAGTCCCTGCTCGGGCGATTGTATTTTTTTTTTCTGCAATAGAAATATATTATATTATAAATATAATAAAAAAATATAACGAAATTATTTATTACAAATAAATATAACAAATAGGTGACCGATATTATATACAATTTGTTATTATTTTCATAAGCAAAAAACTAATTTTTCTATTCGACACGTTCAGCCTCGAGCAAACAACGATTAAAGCAGTTCAATAATAATATACGCATTAGGTAAAGTAAGCAGTATACAAGCAGTTCGTACAATACACCATACTCGTACACCATACTCAAATTTTTAAAGTAGTTTCAGATAAAGCAGTTCATCATAAAGCAGTGCAATCATTCATCTTTTTAACAATTCGGTTGAACTACGTGACATAAAACACACTTATAGAAACGGAAATTTCGACTGGAAGGTTGGCAGCTTCTGTAATCACGCTTCTGTGAGGTCTGATTGTGGGATGGCCTGAGGCTGGGGATCACTGTGTAGTGGACCAGCCATGTTGACGGAACGTCCGCACTAAGCTTGCCATCAATATGGGTGCCGAGGAGGAGTCCACGGCATTCAGGTTGGCTAAGGAGGGATGAACCGGGCCAGGGGTGAAAACCAGCAGCCAAGAGTTCCCGTGGTAGGCAGTAGTGGGATA